CATGCAAAACCCTCCTCTCTGTTAGGCAGCCAAGCAGACTTACAGTTGGCCTTGTCTGGCTGCCAGTGTGGAGTAACCGAACACCCCTGCAAGTGCTCGCTTTTCTTGCTGTCAGCCTCCCTCCTAACTCTGATTTGTTATGGGTATCTGGCATTTCACGGGTATTTCCTAAAGGCCAGTGGAGTGTGCTTTGCAGCACGCATGAGTCTGAGTGCTGGCATGGGCTTCGAGGGAGGCATCCCTCCCCAAATCACGGTGAATCAAGGACAGAAGGAATAACGTACCTAGCTCTGTACTTAACCAAAAATAATACACTGATGCTTTTCTGTGTTCCTGGGTATATATGGCAGTAGAAACGTCTTCCTCGTGCACTGAGTGGCGATACATGGTTGAGCTCTGTCTGGCACACGCAGTTATCCTCGTGGGTTGCAGGCATTGGCCTGGCCTGGGAACACAGCACAAGCGGCTCAAAGTTGACCGTGCCTGTATCTGTTCCGGGATAAAACAAAGAACATCTGGCTGACATAGAAATACCTGCTTTGGGTGAGCTGGCTGATGCAGAGAGGGAGGAAATGGGCCCTTCTGGTAGAGCTTTGGGCATGGCTGAAGGCTTGTTCCTACCTTTGCATGTGACCACCTGTGTCTAGCAGGTTTCTTTTAAATGGTGCAAGCAGCATGACTCGCTCAGCCAATCTGCCTGGGGATTTTACAAACCAGCTTATGATGCAGCCAAAACAGACCATGACAGTTTCATGACAGGGTCTCAGTTTGTGTCTCAGCCTTAGCTTGCTGTACAGCACATTTTACCCAGTTGTGGAGACCTGTGTCTGTGCCAAAACACCAGGAGGGTGGCCATGGAACAGATGAAACTCCTCTGCACCATTTGTGTCCTTGTAAATGGAGAGGCAGCAAAGGACCATGTTCTAAAGAATCTGCTGTCTGTTTGAAGGTGCTTTTAACTGGGCTTGATGGGTGCCTCTCTGCTGTTATCTGAACTGGGACTTAGGTGCATCAAAAAATCAGGCCTTAGTCAGCAAGTATCCAGCATCAAAGTGCCTTTGCAAATAGAGCTCGTGCTCCTAAATCAGCTGAATAATCTTAGTGATGCAGATTTGCCTCCTGGAAGATGGGATTGTTCTTCAGAAACTCAGCTGTGTTCATCTTTAGCCTTAAGACAAAGTAGTTGGAGTTTTGGTTAAAACCTTGGTGGCTTCTGTGGAAGTTAACATTAAAACCGAGGCCATGTCAAGACTAGGATAAGCTGTGTGGTTTGTGTGTGTGCTATTGCAGGGCAACCTTTCAGAGGGAGCCGGCAGAACTGAGGTTTCCAGTAAAATTTGTGACATGCTCATGAAGGAATGTGCAATCAAAATACAGACTGGCTGGTCTGTACACAGGGGCAGAACAAGTGCTGCAGACATGGGCTGCTCCAGCTACATTTAAACTTAACAGTTAAACCAAGCAAACACCACCGCATGCCAGGCACTTACCTTTTTCTTTTGTATCAGTGCAATACTTCATTTGATCTCCTCTTTCTCACCCTGCTGCAGCCCTGAAGACTTTTACTTCTGATTTCCTGCAGTTTGAATAATTTCTGAATAGAAACGTGAGGTTTCTGAAACCTCCAAGAGGTTCTGGGCCCGGAGAGTGGCATCCAGACAGTGTCTTAATGCTGGTTTGTTACAGCTCTGAAGATTGCACGTTGCAGTGGGATTTGCGCTGGCTTTTATTTAGCAGTGATGTGAAGTGTCATTTAGATTGTTATGCCTGGTTTAGTACTGTGATGAGTTTGCAGCAAAGGTGAGCAGTTTGCAAAGACAAGAGGATGAGAACACTACGGTGGGAAGGCAGTGGGACATCCCTTAGCTGGGAGGGGGAGAAATAAGAAGGATGCACAGGTGAGCTGAAGTTGTGGAGTTGAGAAGTTGTGGAAGCTCCATCCCTGGAGGTGTTCAAGGCCAGGTTGGATAGGGCTTTGAGCAACCTGGTCTAGCGGGAGGTGTCCCTGCCCATGGCAGGGGGGGTGGAACTAGATGATCTTCAAGGTCCCTTCCAACCTAAACCATTCCATGATTCTATGACCTTCTGCCCACTTGGTGCATGATGTATCTCATGGAATAACTGTGAGAAAAGTCTTTCTTCTGGGGAGAAGTATGTATGCTAGCAGGAAATGGGAGTGGGCCTAGAGAAGATGTGGATGGGGCTGGGGACAGAGTGAGGTAAGCTTTTTCCCAGAGGCAACCTGGAGGGGAAGGTAAAGCCATAAAGAAAAGGCGGGTTGTCTGAAGAGCTCTGGGAAGGGGTTTGCCTACAAATCAGGCATCTGTTTTACCCAGCGGCAATCTCCTCTGCTTGAGAAATCTCTATCTAAGGATTCCTGAAATGGTGAGATGGAAATAGGAATGAAGGCTCAAGCAGACAGACCAGTCTTATTGCAGTCCTCTGGATTAAGATCTAATGGATATTAGCCCTGTCTTTAAAGTGCTTAATGGTGCACTGATTTTGTGACTCATCTTTCAGAGTCGGTGTTTTCAAGTACTGTTAGCAATACTGCAGTTTGGAAGTCACCCTGGGGTTGGAAGCCTGGGAATCACTGGGACACAGAGCCCTGTGGCGTACGTGCTCGATGGGATGCAGTGCTGCTTTCAGTGTGTGACAGCTCACGTAATTAAGGACGCTGCCTTGCAGATTTAACTTTGAATTGCAAATACCATCACGATTTTTCTGTTTTGGGAGACGTGTCTGCGTGTCTTAAAAGCTGCTCTGCCACTTCAGGTTTGAGCGTGGGTGTGAGACTAGGGTAGATATTAAAACCAAATGTGAATTCAGATTGCGGACCATGGGGGCAAACTGGAATTACTGGCCCCAGAGGTGGGGTACCTCTCAAGAGGAACTGTGTGTATGCACGCTCTCTGACAAGCCCTCCCATCAGCTTTCATGATACCAAATGAAGTGTTCCTGCTTTGGAAAAACCAAGGGGTTTTAGAACTTTTTTCTCAAAAGCAAGAAGAGAAACAGTGTGAGGAGGAAAAGAGGGAAGTGGCATTTGGGGGACTTCAGGCATGATGGGGCTGACTGTGCCATTGCTGCATGGGCTGGGCAGTACTTCTTTGAAGTGTGATTTCCTTTCTGTTTTTCTTGGGGTCCCTGGCAATCATAGCTAGACACAAGGAGCCATTTTTCTGATGTTCTTTGTTTAACAGCAGACGCATTTATTGCAACTGCATTTCAAACTAGGGGAGTCCAAGGACCATCTGTCTTCAGTGTTTTAGTGGAAGTGGGGACAGCTCACGGTGGCTGTTTGATTGATGGGTACAGAGAGTTTTGTGTGGACCCATGACTGCAGCCTGCTTACAGCTGGCCTGCCTCTGTAAGGGAAGTCACTGATCTAGGTGGCATAAGCCATTTGTGGTCTGGTGCTTCTGCCTCAGGTAGGGCTGTGCAGCACCAGTGTGGGCACACTCAGCGGAAGAATTGAGCCTTTGCTGGGCATGAATGCTGCCATCTCATACTGCCTTTGAGAGCAGACCCTACCTGCCAGACTAGTATCAAGAGGTGCTTCTGGTGATATTGGGTGTCTAAGCTGTGGCTGGACTATGCTGAGGAGATGGCATGTTGATGGCCAGGGAATCTGCCCTGCTGGCACCAGTCACGTGTGCAGCGGAGCCAGGAGGAAACTTGATTTGCTGTGAGCAAGCTGTTGGGGAAGTATTCCTTGGAGCTGGGCACATCTCAGCACCTGGCTTTCCCCTCTCGCTTTGCTGACCTGCGCCTTGCCCTGGACTGCAAGGGTGCCAGCGGTGGGGAACTGCCAACTTGGCACTTGAACAGCAGAGCTGACGCAGCTCATTTGGCAGAGGGACACCATGCAGTGTGAGAGCCCCCCGCTGCTACTGACTCTATATAGAGCTGGTATTGCCTCCATTAGGGAAGAGCCGACAGCTGGGAGCTGGGATCTGTGTGCTCAGCAGAGTAGGTGAGTGTGGCCCAGAGCCCTGCCAGGATGTCCGCAGAAGCAGTCCCGCGCTAGCTGTGGCAAGCATGCCCAGGGAAAGGGGCATTAAGGAATCGTCTTGAGTATTTTTACCTGCTGCTAAATATTGTTCTGGCAGCTAAGAGAAGCACCCTGCAGCTGGCCAGCCATCGCAGAGCAGCGGGGTCTCTCCAGCTCCCAGGTAGCTCCAGCATAGAAATCACAGTACTGGAGCAATGGCTGGACAGCTGCAATGGGCAGGGTTGCTCAGGGACAGAACAGGAGGTAACATACAGGTTCAGAAAAGGTCAAGCACACTTGTCTGTGGCTGGTTTGAGGTCCTCCCTAGAATTTCTTAGAGAAGAAATACTGAAGTGATACAAAAATCATGTCTGTGGCAGTGCTTCCAAACCATCTTGTTTCTGGTTCATACCAAAGAAGGTCATCGTGGCTGGGTCCACATAGCATCCTTCTGCTTGAACTGAAAGACAGCTGCTTTTTGGGTAGCTTTGTGGCTGTGGATGGCTGTAGTATGCAGATGTGACTAATAAGGTTTATCTATAGCTTTCTCTAGCTGTCTACCAATTTCCTGCTCATGTTACAGGTGAGCTTCTTCCCTTTTGTGGAGATTGAAGGTAAATTTCTGGATCCCATCTACAACCAAAGCCTAATTAAAACACCTACTCCTAAAACTTCCATCTCATTAGGCTCCATCTAGATGCTGTGACTCCCTAAGGAGCTCTCAGGTCCATGTGCAGTGATTCAAAGTAGAGACAGGAAGGGTGGCAGATGTTACGTTTGTGTGGAGCAGCATGTCTCCAAGCTGTAATCACCAGGACATTCACCACAGTTACACAGATGAGACCTGCTTGAGTTGCAGGACCAGTAAGCCCTCTTACAATACTCACATGCATCAGTCATGGATGTTTACTTGGTAAAGGGGTCAGGAAGGGCCTGCTAAAAGCAAAAATTGCAAAAACTGCCTTGCCAGTGCTTAAATGTTTTCATTGTTTTCCCTTATTCACAGGAGAACTGCTGAGTCAGCCAAGACCAGAGGGATTGACGGAGATCATTTGTCCCAAGAACGGCAGCGAGCGAGTTAATGTTGCCTTGGTTTACCCCCCAACGCCTACTGTGATCAGCCCTTGTTCCAAGTGAGACCTGAAAGCAAACCCCCATTCCCTTGTCAGTAGACACCAGAAAGCCTACATAAAACGTCCCCACTAAGCATTTTTTCCGGCGAGGTAGCAGCCTCACAGCTTGGGGACTGTTCTAATTATTTGTGGATATAGACAGCCCTCTCAAAAGATAAGAGGTACAGTAAAATGGGTTGAGGTGTTCCCTGAGCTGTGTTGTGGCAGATGCAAGACACACACAGCAGGCAAGACTGATCAAGAGATAATACAATCATGGGCAGGTTTAGGTAGGATGGAACCTCAGGAGGTCTCTGTCCACCCCCTGCTCCAGGCAGGGCCACCCTCACAGCCAAGTCAGGTTGCTTGGAACCTTGTATAGGCGAGGATTGATGACTGCTAAGGATGGAGGTGCCACCACCTCTCTGGACTCCAGAGTTACACTGTTCTCCTGAGGCAGAACTTTTTTTCTTCTGTCCCATCAGAGTATCCCGTAGTACAACTTGGCTTTCATTGCCGTGAAGGTGCACTGCTGGGTTTTGTTCAACATATTCTCCACCAGATCCCATGCCAGCTGGATCGCAGGCTATGATGATGCATGGGGTTGTCCAGGTCTAGATGTAAGGCTATGCACTTGTCCTTGTTGAATTTCACCGCACTGTTGTTGGCCCAGTCCTCCGACTTGGTGAGGTCTCACTGGGCAGAAGCCCTGCCCTCCTGTGTATCAATAGCCTATATGTCCTTCACTCCACAGAGTGGGGATGTGCTTTGAAAAGAGCTGTGTTATGGTGGGAACAAATATGGAACAACATTCACAAAAACAGCCAGTGCCTTGGCTTTTTGATGCATAGGTTTTCTTGCAGAACAGAAATGCAGCTGTGGCCTGCTCTCATTGGAGTGGCACAAAGGAATTTGGCAGGGAGCTTAGAGGAGCGAGCCGAGTGTCTTGCAGATAGCTGCTGCTGTGCTGCATGTGAATGCCTATTACTTTCACTTCAGTATGTGAAAGTAGCTTTGGATGCTGTTCTCCCTGTTCAGTACCCTCCCACCCCAAAATACATTTATCCTGCTGGAGAATAGCTTTGGTGATGGGTGGCTCTTGAGCTGTGTGTGAAGGTAAAGTGCCCACATGGGGCAGGAAAGAAGGTAGCTGCCCTGCTATTGAGCCACAGATCACCACTGTCTATTCATCTGGTCCTTCTGTGTATGTACTTGGCACAGCACATTTCTAACCTGAGGTTGTAATTTTTGTTGTACTGTGCTGTCAGGCTATGCCTGTGCACTTGTCCTCCTGTCCTCCAGCCTGCCTTCCACGTCTAACTGTGTCCCAGTTTCACAGTCAGTCTGCTGGCAGGAAACTTGTGTTCTCAAAAAGGCCTGTGTTACTTTTAAAGACCTCACCGTCCCTATTTAGAAGCCTAGATAAAATTGTGTGTCTTAGGTTATTAATCACAAGCACTATGAACCCTGCTGCTCATGCTACATCGCTTTTTCTTTATCCTTTCCTCTTCCAGGTAAATCGTCAGTGCTGGTGCCAAAGGTTTTCCACCGGGCAGAACATGGCTGATGCTCTGCAGTGCTCCTGTCTCTCCAGTTGCAGAGTTGCATGCTGATGGGGATCGATGGGACTTTGGACTCTGAAACGCCGTGGGGCGGGGGAAGCTCCCATGTGGGGGCCTCGTGGCTGGAGTGGATGCAGTCACCTGGAGGTTGGGGACGACAACGAGGCATGAAGCAAAACAAGTGCTGCACATGGCAGGGCCACTGGCCAGAGGGAAAACTGGGGATAGGATTCTGTGGACCCATTGGTTGTGTGTTGAAAACCCATTTGGATCTCATGATGAATGTAAAAATGTTCTTGGTACCATTTAATTCAGACCTGCTTGGAGGAAAGTCTCTTGAAATGAGCTGTAGCGGGATTCCCTGGATTTGTTCCTGAACAAGTGAGTTTCGTGGCAGTTGGCCAAGGCTTTGTCGGGGAGGGCGTTGATACTGTGAAGCCTTTAAAATTGCTCCACTGCGAAACAGCTGGCTGTGTCCCACACAGCAGGCTTGGGTGGTGGCTGGCAGAGCAGGAGGATAAGCAGGCTGAGGAAATGTTTCCTGCCTTGTGTGTACACATACTCTGTGCCATGAAGCGGTAAGGATACGTTGTAATCGCACAGGGATGGAAGAAGGGCAGTCAGTGTGCCTCTGGCAATTGCCAGTTCTTCTTTACCACTAGCTGCAACAGCTCATGGTCTGCCATGTCTGGATGCTCTGGAGTTGCCATTGCAGTATTCTCCATACGTCGTGGCTACTAGAGCAGTAGAGATCTAGATCTGGGTCCTCCTCCTAGCAAAGCCACCCAGACGTCTTTGTGTGGAGATCTAGTGAAGCAGCATGTGGCTGTGTTCTACAAACTGGCCCTGATCCCCTTGGGCTGACCCTGACAGCTGTGCTTCACGAGCAGCCATTCTTCCTGCACCAGATGTGGGAAAGGGCGGACTCAGCACTGCCACCACAGTGCTGGTTTCTCTCCTGACTAGGTGATTTTGAGGACTTCTAAGATGTTGCTGTCAGTTTGTGCCCTACAGCTGAGCCCTGATAACTGAGCTGTATGAGTCCTGCTCCATACAAATATTTGACTTAGCATAAATCAAATAGGAGGCAAGCATTTCCAGAGCCAGGATCCCTTCATCAGATGCTGGTGGAGGTCTGAGAGATGAGGGATGTTATGGTTTGAGAAACCCACAACAATTTATTGTCGTTCAGACAATTATTCTATCACCTGATGATTCCTCCCCACCTGGGAAGGGGCATTGGAGGAAAAAAACAAGGAAACCTGAGGGTTAAAATATAAACAGATTTAATAGAATAAGGCTAACTAATTAACATTACTAATACTAAAAACCTAATATTGATCCCAATACCAGTATTAAAATATACAAGGATTATACTCAGCCAATTCTACCAGTAGGAAGCTGTGCCCTCCCAGCAGTGGGCAGCAAATGTGGGACATTGCAAGTGCTACAACTGCGGGAGGAAAGGAAGGGCTGAGGGGTCTGGCACTGGGGCAAGAAATTCTCAGAATTTAAGCCATCAAGGAAGACAGTGAGCTTCGCAGCAAACTTTCTAATTTATATTGAATGTGACGTTCATGGTATGAAATAATGCTGTTGGCCAGCTTGGGTCAAGTGCCCGGGTCTGGGTCCTCCTCTGCACCTGGCTAACTCGAAAGCAGTGAGGCCTTGAAACCCACATACGATAGCTGGCTAGAAAGTAAATACTTTCACAAATTCAGACAGTACAGTTTTCTAAAAGTGCAGTTTTCCCTAGCTTTGGAGAGAAATCAGTCCTGTGTTGCTCAAACCAGGACAAGGGACTTAAAATGTTTGTGTTAATGTACAGCTCTTAACCCTTTAGGCTGTGTGGCAGACCTGAGATGGGTGATGCTGGTCAGCAGGCAGTCCCCACCAGGGTGCAGGCCTTCAGCCAGTGCAAGACAATGACACGCATCCAGCTGGGACCTGCTGCTGTTGCACAGGTGGCATTCCCCTGGCTTCTGGTCCTTCAAATACCAGCCTTGTGTGCAGGGCTGCAAACATCCCCATTGGCAGGAACTTAACACTGGGAAACGCAGGGCAGAATCCACTCTAGTGGGACATTGCAGGGGCCAGGTGGAAGAAATCAAGCCATTGTGCCTCACTTCAGGGGGCGAAAGCTGCCAAATAAAAGCTGCCAGCTCAGTCAGCTTTGCATCTCTTCAGGGTATCGTTCCATCTGGGGAGGGGTCTCAGGCTTAGATTTCATGTGTTGACCTGCCATCTCTGGCAATGGGCCTTTCAACCTGCCTTATGTCAGTGAGAAGCATTAATTGATTGTGCTTCTGTATCACTGCAGATAAATTGGGGACTAGAAATTGCCTATAGTGCTGGAGGGAGTGGAAGGCAGGTGAGATCTATGAACGGTGTCTGGAATAGTGCTGGGAAACTCCCTTGTCCTGAGTCTTGCTGCCCATGAGACATGAAGGGCCCTGCTATAGTCAGAACTTGCATTAGAGCATTTCCTACTGTCGCCTCTTGTGCTGGGCAGCCTTCTCCTCCTCTTGTTGCTGCTACTCACCTCTCTTTCCATTCTCCATAGGAAGAAACTAGCGATTTGTTGCTGTGACGTTGCGTGGAAACCACATTGTAAAGAAACCACAAACTGGAATCCTTTTCCAGCCGGAGGCCTGTTTCCCAGTGCGCCCATCTGGTCTGGGATGCGTGAGCATTGAAGGAGTGAAAGGACAGAGCAGACGTCTTGCAGCCTGCTCCTTGGGACCGCAGCCCTCCTGCCGGGGCATGCCACCTCGGCGGGAGCACGGCATTACCTGGCCTTTGCAGGCACTCAGTCTGCTGTGCGCACTGAAGCTGTAATGCCGGGAGTGTGGCAGTATGGAGATCAGTCTAGTTGGGTCTACTTAATATGAAATGGTGATCGCTCATCCGCCCACTGTTTAGTAACTGGTGTAACTGTGTTTTCATCTGTATTTTTGTAATATGCAAAAGCCATTTAATTTTCTATGCAGTTCAAAAACGTCTCCCCTTTGCAACTGCCAGGTGGGAGACCTGTGCAGGAGAACCAAGCCAAGTGGCTGATAGTCCTTTTGATTTTGCTGTCACTGTCTTTTAAGGATGCATCCTGGAATCCTCTGCATACAGTGTCCCTGTGCTGAGCTCCTGCCTCTTAGACCCCACTTAACATCCCTGAGCCCCAGGGATGAGGGTCCCATGTCTTTGAAAGATCTGTCATTTTTCATGAGTTACGTCACAAGGAAAGAGGGCTTGAAAGCAGTGCCCTAAGAGCAGAGATACCTGATTTCAGAGCATGTATTATACTCCTGTTCCTGTCCCTGCCTGGAGACTTACTGAACTGTTAGAAACGACTAAGGCCTCTGCGAAGCACCCTGCAGCCTTTATTGAAAGAGCATTATGAAGAGGGCGGAAAGGACTGGGGCATCAATTGTCTCCCCAAGGAGCTGACAGTGAATTTAACCCCTTTGGAATAGGAGGAGACTCTCCTGGTACTAGATGCCTACTTCACCCAAGAGGACTGCGCTGGTTTTGCTTATTGGTTTGCAGACCCCTTGCTTGTTGACCAGTTGGTTTCCTACTGAAACTGGTGCAGACAGGTTTGGAAGCAGAGCTGGCAAGTTGCTTTGCAGCGCAGGACTTTCAGCAGCTGGAACATGTCCTGGAGTACCTTGTGTTGTGCTCTGAAGCAAAACCTGGGATTCAAACCTGCATCCGTCCAATTGAAACTCCCAGGATAGCAGCTTTGCCCTCTGCTGGGCCTGTGTAACATGTGAGAAACTGCATGTTCCTAAGCAGCATACAAATCTGTTGAGGTGGAGTGAGAGGGAGCCCAAAGGGTGGTGCTGCACATCTAGTTCATCTTAGGGCTTGCAGGGGTACTTGGGAGGCCTTTGGCAACTGTAGGGGGTCCTGAGTGATAGGACACCTCTGCTTTAACTGTCAGAGAAATAAGATTGTTTCTAACCTGCCACAAGGCCAGGATGTATTTCACTAGTCTCCTTTCGTGGCAGTGCTGTTCTTTCTACAGTCTCTCTCTCTGCTCTGAGCTTGGGGAATTCAGCTTTAAAGTTAAACAGAAATAGAGACCAGATTGGGATTTAACCTGCCTTGTGGTCTCTCAAATCAGATGGAAGAGACCGGGGGCTGCAGAAGCATGGGTCATCTCCCTTGCAGCATTCCCTGTGCTACAGTTCCACAGTGGCTGTAAAAACTCTATATTGTATTTGGGTGCTGCTTTCCCAGGAACCCAAGATGCGCTTGGCTGTGCTGTAGCACCAGAGCTTACCTGGGGTCCCTTTTCTCTTCACCTTTGTACCTTTGAGGTAGTTAAAGTTTGTCAGACCAGTAGGGGCTCTTTGCTGTGAGGAGACAGATACGGTTATGTTAAAGGGAACTGCAAATGGTATTTAGGAGCTCACTAAGTGAGGTGAAAACCCACCGGCTCATTCCTGCAGAGCCACATCCTGGAGCTCAGCTCCTCCCGCGCCCTTTGGAGGGGGTGGCATCCTTGGAACGGCAGTGCGGGGAGGTGGAGATGCTGCCCTGCAGTAAGCACAAGAAGAGGCAAGCAAGTGGGCCTCAGTGTAGCACTCATCACGCGCTTCATGGCTCAGTTCATGGACTGTAATTGCAGGTATTCATATAATCTACATCACTGGGCAGGACTCTGCGCACACACACATGCATGCCCAGACGTACATGCACCACGCCCACACTTGCCCGCACATTCTCGCCAAAACAACTGAAAATAAAAGTGATCTCAATCTCGAGGAGAGGCCTGGCTGTTTGATTTGGTTTTCCAGTGTCTTGTTGGGCCCTCCCACTGGAAGGGTCTGCACCTAATTGAGATCTGCGGGTTTCTGAGTCCAGGAGCCAGAGCTTTTAGGACCACTGTTAGCAAATGACTCGCAAAATCATCAAGAGATTTGGCATTTAGTGAATGTAAGCATGGAGCCCCTTGTTTGGATTAACATCCGTGAACCATTGCCCACTCCAGCAAGGCAGGTGGTTTCTGGGGAACAGCTTTTTCCCTACTGCGTTTAGGGTGTTTCGTGGGTGTGTGAGGCCAGCTCAGTGGTTCCCGTTGGTGCCGCATTGTTTGCTTTCTTGTAAAGCTTGGTTCCCTGCAAACCCTGCTCAAGTGCCACGTTATTCAGGGGCAAGAGTGGTAAGACAGATGCCCCTCTGCTTGCCACCATGGGTATTAGCAACAGCACCAGGAGGGTAAATTAAAAGTAGGGAGCGAGTCCCCTCCCACACAACACCAGGCAGCTGTTTGTGACCTCACTTCCATTGCAGCTCTCATTTGGAGCAGAAGGCAAGACGGACCTCTGTGGCAATGCCACCAAACACAGCGATGCTGCACAGCAGTCCTAGGGGAAGGGGTGGCAGCATCTGCAACAAGGTGCTGGGGTGAGACAGGAGGCAAGACTGAGGGCGGGTGGCTGGCCCCCAGCCACAGCAGGATAGATAAGGAGATGCCAGGCTATTTAGGAGCTGGCAGATGTGGAGGTGTCGGGGTGGTTGCATCAGTCAGGTGGGTGCCACCTCTGCATCAGGTTCCATCGCTGAGGGACAGAAAGGAGGTCTCTGAGGACGTGCCTGGACTGCACTCCAGGGCTGTGGGGAGCACCAGCGGAAACTTAACCGACCCATGATGGACAGAGAGTCTTCCTCTCTTTACCTTCGGCTACTGGCCGAGAAGACCCAGAGGGCTCACGCATGTCTTGTGCCATCTGCCCCCCCTTGCTTGGTGGCTGCCGATGAAGGGATGTGGGGAAGGGCATGCAAGACAGTTTCCCTGGGCAGGAAAGGGATGGGGGCTAGTTGAACTGCTCCAGTGGCCAGGACCTGGCTGCCCACACCCCGGATCCGTGTTTTGGGTGCCCTGTGCAAAGTCTGTCTCACAAGGAGAGGAATGTGGAAGCATAAATAAGGTCTCTGTCCAGTGCGGTTTTCCCATAACACGGAAAGAGCTTCCAGCAAGCTGCTGTGACCCCAAACCCCACCCGGCAGAAGCTCAGGAGGGGCACTGCAGGAGCATGAAAACAGAGGTGCTACCGCGGAGCAGCGGGGCCGAGGGCCGCCCC